CTGAAACAAAACACATATTTAAAACAAAGCGCTTTTCAAAACAAAGCAACGAAGCAATTATTTTCTAAAACAAAGCAACGAAGCAATTATTTTCTAAAACAAAGCATTTAGCGCTTTATATTTTTATTAAATTTGTAACGAAGAATATTATAAAGATTTCGCTTAGGAACGCATTTGCAGCGTGAATAACCTCTTATGCTTATCGTCTGAATGAGAAATGAAATTATATTACCAATTATTAATGAAATTTCAATTTGTAATGCATAAATACTTGTTGGCATGAACTATTCACACCAGCCAAAGTGACAAAACCACTATCAGAACAATTTTGAAATTCATTCATTTAAATTGTTAAATTGGATGTAAATAACGGGCAATTATTACTTATGACTAAGAAAAAGAAAAATCTGTTGAAGAGATATTTCTAAACTGATTAATTATTTAAATACAATTGTAATTAATATCATGATCGAGAGGACTTTTCTTACTGAGAGTAACCGGATTCATGTAAAGTAAGAGTGACCAGATTCATGTAAGGATAAAAATCTGAGAGATTTATGACTTGTGAATTTCAACCGATTTAACTGGATTTATATAAAGGTTAAAACCCCATGTAAAAGATTAATGAATTTGAATCGGATTTACCACATTCATACAGGGTAAGTTCCCATCTGAGAGATTAATGAACTATGAATTTCAACCAATCAGATTAACCAGATTCATATAAGAGTAAAACCCCATAAAGATAAAACTAACCTTACGAAAGAAACTGAAATAGTCTTATAAGAAAGATTTAATTTTATAATTTAATTCTTAAAAATTTTTTTTAAAAACCAATATTTCATAAATGAGCATAGAAAATGTGTAATAGTAATGACTGTCGTGACAATTAAAAGGAAAGGGATTAAGAAAGTGAGGGAGATTGTTATTGTTTGTTGTAGAAGCAGTTAAGTTTTAAAGGAATGACTTACAGTGTACCGTTCGTTGTGTGTTCGAAACGTACAACAGATTATCCTTTATTATCGTCTGGATACCAAATACAGTGAAGGTAGGTTTAAATAATTCCAATTACAATAGAATGACTTCCAGGGTAAAACCAGTAGAATAATGAAAGATTTTGTACGGATTAGTAGAAATAGATGGAGAGCCTGAGTGTCGACAGATGGGTTTTTGGCAATAATGTATGAATGTTAGGATTTCTAATGTTTATATAGGGAGTGTATAAGGAGAAACAATCATAACAAATTAACGTATATTCACAGCTACCAGAGAAATCTCCATATCTATATTAACTTGTATTAAGTGATTTCAATCACAATATACTTTGTTTGGAGAAAGGAAAAAAAAATACAATAATTAACAGAAATCTAGAGATAAACATGTTGGATATAAATATGTTTATAACATAAACATGTTTATAAGATTAGATATCTCTACAGTACGCCCATCAATGCTCATAAAATTAGTTGTCAGCAAACCTCAATATCAAATAAAGCTCATTTAAAGATTTGATAGCTGACTCATGACTTTGAGGATGAGAGAGGAAAAATAAATGTAAATGCAAACTATCTGAATGAATAATTTTATGATACAATTATTTCGGTTTTTCCGACAATGACAGTAATCAGATCTGAACAGTAGAATTTGTTCTCACGAAATTTTTCCCAGCATGTCATCGTGTGACAATAACCAAAACAAAGGCGGCAAAGCGGTAATGCTACCTCTATGAAAGGAAAAGATGTCTGTGTGTGTGTGT